ATTAGATTCAGCAGCGTGTCCGCTGGCTGCGTGTGTTAAAGCCCGTTAAGTTATGCCAGCCTGTTAACCTCGGTGTCGGCTGTAACAACCGGCTATTTTCCCGACACTTTTCCGCCCTTTAATAGAAAGTTCGACCGTCCTCTACCGTAAGACGAAAACTGCTATCGTAAGAAATAAAACTCAACAGGATATTCTGCGCTATTATACAATTCATATCTCTGTGTCGTTAAACTAATATACATATGTCACAATATTAATTTATTATATTGTTAGCATTATTATATTTAAAAAAAATTTTAATATTTTGAAAACTATTTTGTAAGCTTGACATTATCTTTTTTTATATTGTATTTTGATTAATTAAAAAAAAATAAAATTTGCTATAATAATTTAACACTGATACGTGAAAAGTTGAAAATTTATTGTTAAAATAAAATTCATTAAATAGAGTAATTAACGTGTGTGTATTTATAAATTTTCTTTTATGACTTTTATCCACTATATAACACACATAATACACACGCGACAATACAAAGCTACGAATATCTGCAAATTGAGCACTTTAGAGAAAGCAAAAAATGCCGGACATTAAAGCCATAATTCGTGTGATATATCCGTAGTGAACATTCAGATAAGTTAATTACCTTTACAAGCATAAATAACGTGAATTGCATCCGATAAACGGATCGCGCGCGACCCTCCGCGCGTTTCCTACGTTCGGCTTCTTGCGATATTTTTATATGATTGCAATCACGATATTTTTACATAGGGTTTTATCTCGCATTGCTGCCGTGAATAAGTATTAGTGTACAAACGTTTCGATCATCGTTAATCATTGCGATAAAAGAGCGTTGTGCTCGAGGGCATCGATTCGCACTAAAGGGAATTTACGATAAAGGAAAGTTGATTTTTAAAAAACGAGTATTTAAATAGTCCAGCTATTTGACTCTTAACGTGAGATACGAATAAAAGCGCCTCTTAATTTATCACCGTGACCGACACAAAGCGTGAGAGAAAAATAATTTTTTATTGTGTCACGTAATTTTCTACCTGTCGCTCGTCACTTATCGTCCATCTGGATGGCGCACGTGATCCTTTTATAAGTATTCTCGGCGCGACTTCTCTCCCGCGTGTCCATTCTCAGCGGCACCAAGCCATGACCTTCTTCGCTCAAGCAGCAGTTTTTTTGTCTTCAACGCTGGGGGCAAAAGTCGCAGGTTCTCGCAAGCTGTGCGGGATGGCCGGTTTCGCGGAGCGGTAAGCCGTCTTTTATTAGTTTGACCAACAGCGGTCTACTTTCCCTCCTTCTTGCGTTCTACCGCCGACCTCAATCATCCCTCCGTGCGTTGTAGAAGAAGCGCCGGCGGGCGGAAAAAAATGACCGACTTTATCTTCTCAAGATGCGCAACGGTTTATTCCCACCGCGCACTCGTGTATTCGAGGAATGCATATTAGAGATACTTTTAGATTACGAGGTGGCCAATAAAGGTAGCGTGTCTTGTTTGGTCATTTTATTAATGAAGGGAAATAAATTACGAATCCGGTTTTCCTCGTCCAGCGGACACAACTCGGGGATACCAAATATTGAGATACAAACTGCTCTTGTGTACAGCCTTGCGTGGTCACTATTTACCGGACACCGTGTACAAAGTAGCAATTTCCAATGCGAGTGCTTAAAGCGCTTTGATATCTTACGGATCGATGTACGCGCATCGAGTGCGCGGCGCGCGTTTCTAACAGAACGATTAGATACCTTTAATGGAAGTCACGGAGTTAATTGAAGTGTGCTGGTAATTACTCACCTCTGGTGCGATTACTCATGCCTCGATTCCGATCTGCCGTATGATAATTCGTTTGGTGCATTGACTACGTTAATTACTAAACGGAGTTACGTAATCATTGCAAAATTTCTGTGTGAGGGCACATAATATTAATGTAAAGGGCGCAGCGATGGTCGGAGCTCGTTAACGAAGTTCACCGCAACGTTTCCCAATTTCCTCTAAAAATGTCATGAATGCCGCAGCGTACGCGGAATATTTGGAATATTTGCGGCTGCATTAAGGGTGATGGAACAAGAAACCGATCGCGATAACGAACGTAACCGCAATGCTTGAGGGTTGCCACGCTTAAAATAATTTTACATGAATGTTTTCCTTAGTTTCTACTACAATGCAGGCCGCAATTCGCGATCTTTTTTTAGTCTATGCGAAAAAATCCAGCCGAGAAAAATTAAAGTTACACGACTACACTCCTCGCCGCTCTCGTTCACAATTCATTCGCGCGCGAATATCCATTCAGTGAGCGAAAAAAATTACGTCACATATGGGGCGAAAGGGAACGAGAGAATCAAGAAAGCGATTACTCTATATTCTTGCGAATTATAGCGCTAATGCCGGTTTGGTGACAGTTGCGCGGGGGAAACGACCATCAGACCATCGATCCGCAATATTTTTCGTTGATAACCGATCGACCGTCCCGTTTTCCGATGTACGATCGGACCCTACTTTTCTCATCGCGTATATGTTTCCTCGTAAAGAGTATACTCACAAGTATAGACGAGGGAAAAAAGGGATGGATGGAGATAAAGAGTGAGAGCGTCGTGGAGCGAAACGCGGCGGCGAGAAAAGGGCGGGCGCAGTGAAAGATAGTATAAAACAAAAAAGCTCGGCTATCTCGACGTTTCCTTTCCATTTCGAAATATCGTCTTTGTACATTTAGCTAGGTGTCTGAGAATCTACGGTCTCGCAATTGATCGTAAAGAGCGCCAAACTGCGCGTGCAACGAGCGTCAGGCGATAGACGGAAGCGACGAAGAAGAGAGAAAACGGGAGTGTGGAAGGGGGAGAGATAAAAGATGAGAAGGGGAGGAATGAAGGAAGTATAGAGAGACCGACCACTCGTTTCACAATTTCCGAAGTGACTCTCCGCGGGGCCAAAGTACCGATGCGTTTTTCGCGCGGAGGAAAAAGCGCCTTTCCACGTCCTCGTGTACATTGTACTTTTCTTGCTGTTTCTTTCTTGCTTTGCATTCGCAGTGAAACTCATAAAACACGAAGTTGTCGACTTCGCTTGTTATTTAGAAGACATTCGAAAAAAATACACCGCAATGGAGTTGTTTCAAATCCATTGTGTCTCACAGGTGCAATAGTGTTTAATATAAATGTATACACATTGTCAATAACTAATTGGTGGATGATTATAAAAAGTGGAATTCTTGGAGAAGCGATCTCCAGGCAATTTTGTCAGCATTGCTATAAACCGTGGAATACGAATAATCAATAATATTCGCAGTTACACGTATATTATTATTTTATAACAAACAAAGACCCCGTAATTGCAGTAATATAAAGAATAAGAAAAAGATTTGCTTATAATTAAAATTATCAATATTCATTTTCCCGAAAACGTTGTATTTTTCTTCTGAAGATCCGAGAATTTTTCTTTGATCTCACTTCTTACTACATGACATAACTTCAGATAAATGAGTGGTCCATTGACACTTAATTTTTGCGCAAATACTCTAGAAAAATTGGATCGTAGGAAGTCGATCTTCGTAACGGATGTTAGCTCAACGTTGATGTTTCAGTAATATTTTTTACATCTCAGCGCAATTAACCGATTACCATCGCCGGCACTTGCATCGGGCGAGCTCGATCATTAAGCAAACCAAACATTTTTCTTTCGTCTTCAGACGCGGGGACTTGGCCGACACGATTTAAAAAACGGCAGGCGTACCGCGATCGATCGCGAAAAGACTCAACCCCTCGGATACAAGGATAATGCGAAAAGAGCCGTTTTCACATCTCGTTTAGTAATGCGTAATTTTTATACTTATACCATATTTTTATTTTTCTATTGCGTGATACATGAAAATAATATTAGCATAATTTTAACTGATAATAAAATTAATTATTTTTATTAATTTTGTTTTGCCAATGTTGTTACATTAAAAATTAATTTTTTCAAAGAGAAAAGAAAACTTAAAGCTTCTAATTTAATTGAGAGTCGTCTCAATCTCGTCTTGCTATTTATTAGATCACAATTTGCTAAAAAATTTTTTTTTTAATCGGTCATATAAGTGACTTTTTGATATAGCATAACTAGCGCCTATGGTATGTGGATAGCAGAAGAAAAAATTCATCAGGAACGAGGTGGCTAACGTTAGCGTGTAACAATTCTGATCTTTAAAGAGCGCGCGCGCTGTTACATAAGCCCGGTCCTGCGAAACAGATGAAACTGACGGTAGAAGCATACCAGACCAATATCCGCGCTCTGCCTCCTAAGTCATGCGTTTAAATTACCTTATTATGAGGCAGGGCTGTCATAATTATGAGCGCCCGGCGCACGGAAGCGGGAGAGGGGTTTGCTGCCACCAACGGCGAGGAGCGGCGGAGTGGTTGGTGGGCCGACCGGGTAGCCAGGCCGGCGGGGATCGTGGGTGGAGTGATAGAGTAATTAACATCCAGTCAACTCCAGACCGTGCCAATAATTTCCTACCTTCCTCCACCTGACTGACTCGGCGTGCTCCGCTCGGCGCGAATGCAGGGAAATATTCCGCATTCCTGCCGTAACATTTTCCCCGGGGAAAGTACTCTCCCATCGACGTTTTCCTGAGGGGCTTCGCAAAAAGGCGGCGGGAAAAAAAGCGATGCTTATTGCACAGTCGAGGACACTAGCCTTGAGAGCGCCTAGCATACGCGCGGCTGCAATAATTGCGTATTAACTCCCGGCATACTCCAGCAATTTTCTAAAATATCACGTATTCTAATAAAGCCGAGAGACCCGAATTGCAATCTAATAGAAAAACATGAAATTATTTTAGTTTAGTTATGCGTTACTTGTGCTATTTTTTTTTACATTTCTTCTTGCATCTGGAATGCCCCAGATTCCGCGCATTTCTTTTCACTCGCAGATTTTTTTCAAGATTTTAAGGTTGATTTTTTAAACAAAAATTTAACATTTAACAGAAAACTAATAATATGAATATTTCTTACATTTCAGGCCATAAAGAAGATTTTCAAATGTGTATCCCACTTTGTCGTGCTTGACTTGAATTATTTTAACTCTCCAAAACCAAAGGTAAGTATCACTTTTATCATCTTGTAGAAAAATCTAGATCAGCGATGTAAGCATTACTTTATATACGGCTTGTACGATTTTATGATATGTTTCTCGTGATGTGATAGAATAATTTAATTTTTTAATTTATTACAAACAGCTTTTACATTAATGATATTTATATACGTGTTTTTATCGCACACATTTTCTATGTGCAAAAATAATATTTAGATAATACTTTTCAATACTATTGCCTCTGTTATTGCGATTCATAATTTTCTCATCATAACTCTTCATATTTAATAATATAACATAGATTAAAGTTTTGCACACTTTAAAACTAAAATAAATACGCGTGAATTATAAGATACAGTCGTATCATATCTTTTTATGCGTTGACAATAATATTCTTTAAGCTGCGAAGACATAGAGTTTGTGCGGAAAAATACATATACATTCGCCATAAAGAAGATTTTCACCCTTCTTTCTCATGCTAAAGTGATAAGAAATGTACAGGATTTTCAACCATATGTAAAGTAACGCCTACATTCCCACGATGAAAATTCTGGAAATAGGTCTTTATGTCTCACAAATCTCTCGCATTCGTGTAAACGGATGCACTTACTTGGTTAGGCAAATAAAGCACAGCACTCTGCAAACGAATCTTATTCATATCATTTATATGGCACGCATTTACATATTTATATGTGAAATATGTGCAAAAAATTTACTCTTTGCACTTGCTAACTGTACATTAATATTTGTTACATAACAAATTCTGTTATGTCTTGTACAAAGTAAGAAATATGTACGAAACGAATGTTTGTTTCCCCTTTTGTCAAAGCGCAATAATGATTTACTTAGCTCTTCGAATATGTTAATAATACTTCAAAGAAATTCTCATTTCTTTCATGCAAAGTGTACACTCCCTTCTGTCAGTAGCACATATATGACTCGTGACAAACAGGAAGGCGTAGGAAGCGTGTCCATTCAATTCGTGCAACGCATAGGTAGCATACATTTACTGTGATCGCGCTCTTACAAAGTTCCGCGAGAGATGTACTTACGCTTCTGTAACCCACATAGTGTGTTTCTCGGCTTCGCGTGGACGGCAATAGATACGACTTGGCGAGACACACGAGAACCGTTGGAGACGCGTAGGTATGTCCGTACGCGAGTTTATGAGGGCATAACTTAGGACCAAGTATGCGACGGAGGACGCGGAATTTCGAAGTTCTCCGGATCTCTGGCCCTCCTCTGCATCCTACTCGCCTGGCGAGTATGAGCAGGGCATTTGCAAGCGGCAAACGTGTTGCACGCGTGTTGCTCGTGGCCACGTGTCTACGAACAACAACAACAAAAGCCAATTATTCAAGTGCGACGCAGTCGTGGACTCATGGGCAATTTAATTTGCAATTAAAATTAGATAATGCGTTACCGGATGAATTGGAAAATGTTAATACAATGCGTGCGTAGTGAAAGAGCAAATTGAACGATGCATATATTGAAATTTAATGCACATACAAGAGATTGTTGCATTAATTCTTTGCCCGGTATTTTTTAATAACAGATTTTACGTAGTTTTACAATTGAACCTCAGATTAAAATACTGTAAAATTTTATTTGAACGAAGAATGTCGATCGAGGCAATTTCAAAACGAACAGAGAGCTTCTTGAAAACTCAACGGTACCCAAATATCAGTGATACATAATATCTACGTATAGCAGAGCTGAAAGGAACAGAATCTAGGTGACGGGTTATATAGGTAGCTACATTTCTGGTCGCTCTCGAGAATCAACACGCAGCGACGGAGGACGTAAAATGGATAAGGGTAAATGGCAAAAGGGAGCAAGGACAACCCCATTCACGGCACACAAGATCCAGTTCTAGTCCTCGCGGTCCGCCCTTTCGGGCGACAAACAAAAGCTAATGCACTTCTGCCGGATAACTGCTAACACTCCTTAGTGTCGTTCCTCTCTCTTCTTCAGTGTCCTACCTCTACCCACCCATTATATCGTCCTTCTCTCTGCTTTCTCTGCGCGCTATATTCTTCTCCCTTTCCTTTTCATCCCGCTCGACGGTTAACTGGAGCAGCACTAGGAACTCTCCGTCCGCGTGTTCAGAGATATTGTCTAGCTATCTGAGAAAATTCCTCTACCTCTTTTATCTGATTTCTCCTTTAATAAGTTACGATTATAAAGTCGATCGATGTAAAGTCAGTGAATCGCGGAAATAATGCACGATATTGTTTCTATAGCGAGTTGCTCTCAAATTTTCTGCAAATAACGCGTTGGAATTTTAGTATTAATATTTTATTACGCAATCAATTAAATTGTCGAATTTTGCATAAAAGGCGAAAAGTAGTAATAATTTAAAACATAAAACAAATCGATAAAAGATGAAAAGAGTAAAAACGTACCTTTTATGAATGACAATAACTAATTTATCAAAGATTCGGGAATGGGAAGGAATAAAAGACGAATGAACGAATTGATTATTCACCTCTAATTGGACCGGAACGACTTAGCGGCGCAATAATTTAGGCAGATCGCGAGATATCGGCCGCAGAAACGACAGCACCGTAAAACAAGCACCGAGTATTGAATAATGCATTGCGGATAGCGAATAATGGAACAAAAAAGTGGGCTGTTAAAGAGTAAGGAAAAGGGGTTAAAAACGTGCCGCGAAATTTCAGAGATTTCGTGGGAAAAGGAGATGAACTTGCATATGTTTTGCATTTCTAAGGCTGGAAGACTTAATATTCCGCCGTTTTAACGATTTCTCTCGGAAACGTCATGCTCTAACGAAATCGAATTCAATATATCTTTTTAAAAAACTATTTTTTAATTGTGTTTATTCACAATTTTTTTATATATACTCGAGAAAACTGGGATAAATTTTTACGTTACGCTGCGACCATTTTGCGAAAGAAACATTCTCTTCGGTTATGCAAATGCACCGGCCGAGTTGGTTTATTACAAATGCTTCACCACGAAGGTGACTTTCTTTCGGTTACATCTTTTGACTGAAAGCTATAAAAAAATCTTGTGAAAAAAAGAATCTCTCAAGAACGCGTAACGCATATAAAGAATAAAGTGTGCTGGCTAACTGCGTGTTTACAAGGCAACGCGAACATACGTTTATAATGTCACCGCCAGACACCGTGCGCGAACTTTATTCCGCGCGATACTATTTTATCGTTTTGTTTCGGTAGCGGCAGAAAATTTTCTGCAATTACGGCAAAAGCCCGTGGCGCGCATACTTTCTCGCAATGCGGAGATAAAATCCGCGGCCAGCCGCGCCATGTTCATAAAACATATTTAAACGGTGTTCTGAATTTGTGTCGCGCTGAGGAAATAAATTTATGAGCCGCTTGAATAGAAATATATGCCATATTTAAATTTATCACGATGTTCATTGTGATATTTCACGGCCGAATGCGTTATGCACATGTAAATGAATCGACACGGTGTCGTCGCACTGCCTCGCTATGGCTTACGAGTACATCATTTCGGCGGCAACTATTTATCGATAATCAGTGACCGTAATATTAATACGTAATACATAATATCGATAAACGTTATGCCATCGCAAAATGATGTAATGGATAAACTGTAGAAAAGGTTAAAACTCACATGTCGCGCGGAATATTTCAATATTTGAAGCGCTTAAAATAATTTGAGTTATCATAATAATGCTATTACGAAATAATTGTTCGGATCAATGAAAATTCTTTGTGTGCACACACACGCCTGCTAAGCAAATTAAATTCCTTAATTAAATTTACCGCGACGATTTGATAAATGTAGACGTAGAGATAAATGTAGAGGAGGTACAAGTGTCAAGTAACATGGAAATCGTGATCTAGCTGCGTTGCGTGATCGAGCTGCGATTATCGCGAGTCAATTTAATAGCATCTATAGTGTTTGCCGATTGACAGGAATTCCAAGCAGTGCAGGGATGGGTTCTTGTCCCACTTTTCATTCGTTAGAATCGATCGTGCCGAGGTATTAAGTGCGTATTACGGAGATGATTAATTTGACATCTACTTCGCGCTATTCTCTCCCATTTGACACGTAGCCTAAGAGAAACGTGCTTCTGGTCTAATAATTTTCTATATTTAAATCAAGACCTCGAAACGTTCACAGTGCATATAATGTTTTATTCGTCATTATGATAATTAGAAAAACGCGTGAATTATGCTTGAATCGCGAATGAGGCAGAGAGATTCTTTCAGAGTAATGTGATAACACGTGCAGAGAATACAATTCGGCATGTGTTAATTTAAATGAAACTTGATGAAATGCGATATATCGCTGAATACGAGTGGCTGAATACATTGAAGGAAGCCACAAAATTCTGTTGATGATCAAATGTTGTATCAGCAAAATGCGCGGTAATTTAATCTTGTTTTTAAATACGAGATCGCGCGGCGGAGTTTAATAGCGAACAAAAACATATCGCACCATAGTGCAGACCCATAATGCTAATGAAATATTGTTCAGAAATACTGGCTGTTCGACAGCAGGAGTATTTGGTGAGCAAAACAATATTCTTTATTTTACAGGCTCAAATATATCTTTTCTCTGCCAAGATTTAATTGGACACTATTTATCCTTGTTATTCTTAAAATTTTATTATACATTTTGATAACAGCAGCACATATTTTTTATTAAAACAAAATCTATCTACTAACTTTATTTATTTTCGCTTGCAGCTATTCGTGCCTTGACATTTTCATCAAAGAATAATTATTTCAGTTTTGAACAAGGTATATTTACGTACACCGAGTATATCTTTCATACTCTGCGTAACATTTGTGAAAAAAGCGAACAAAATTACAAATACACGTAATTAGGTGCCCACATTACTGAGATATACGAAATACGTTATTATTTGTTTCCCCGTGCAATGCCTCTTGCATTATGAAAATGCGTTGCCTATCTATTGTCCGCGAAATTAAGGTAATGTTCTAATTAACACGGCATGCTCGTTATTTCTTCGAGTACCGCGAGCAAGC